GCGTGCAATCACGATGATCCTGGAAAACACTGTGCTAAGTCAAAGATGCCAAACACAAGGATCCGTAACATACTTTGAGTCTACTTATAGGACATATCCTGATTAGACAAATCCATACAGATGGTAAAAAGCTGATAGCTGTCAGGAGCTGAGGGTTGGGAGAAATGGGAAGTTGTTCCATGGGCATAGAGTTTTAGTTTTGTGAGATGAAAAGCATTCTAGAAATTGCACAGAAATGTGTATGTATTAACACTACTGAACTGTACACTTAAAAATGATTAAGATGGTAAATTTTGTTATGTTTTTTACAATAAAAAAATCCCATCCACGAATGGATGGTCCCAGAGATCAGGTAGTCCAACCCCTTGTTTTACATGTACATGGGGAACTGAGACCCAAAAAAGGTTAGCTATTTGCCCAAAATCACAGTTGGTCAGAGGCAGCACTGGGAGTAGTCACAACTTCTACTCCAAGTCTAGCACTCTTTCTACTAAATAAACCCTCCTGTTGGCATAAGCCTCTGAAGCTCAGAAACTGAAAATTTCTCTTTAAATGTAAAAAGAAAAAGAACTTAGATAATGTGCAATTAAAGAAAAAATATGCTGCCTGGCTGGAAGAAGGGAAATGCGGAGTAACTGCTTAATGGGCACAGAGTGTTCTTTTGAGGTGATGAAAATGTTTAGTAACTTGATAGATGTGGTACTTACAAAACATTGTGAATGTACTAAGTGCCACTGAATTGCACATTCTAAAACGGTTAATTGTATGATATTCGAATTTCATGTCTATTTTTAAAAAATAAGTCTAAATTTATTTCAATTTTTAATCCAAATTTTCTTTTTTCTTTTTTTGAGATGGAGTCTCACTCTGTCACCCAGGCTAGAGTGCAGTGGCACAATCTTGGCTCACTGCAACCTCCACCTGCAGGGTCAAGCGATTCTCTTGCCTCAGCCTCCTGAGTAGCTGAGATTACAGGTGCCCGTCATCACACCCAGCTAATTTTTGTATTTTTAGTAGAGACAGGGTTTTACCATGTTGGACAGGCTGGTTTCGAGCTGACCTCAGGTGATCCTGACCTCAGATGATCCACCCACCTCGGCCTCTCAAAGTGCTGGGATTACAGGTGTGAACTACCACACCTGGCCTTAATCCAAACTTTCTAACTCATATATTCCCATCTTATTTTTCAGCTATGGGTGTTTTATCTGCTTCAATGTAAATACACATACAGAACAAAGGTAGAAACTCAGAAGGTCCAAAAAGCATGTATTTTGGAGTTAATTCCCATTCCTTCCCAATTTGCCTCTCCAAATGCTGCCAATGGTCCTAGTTATTCATTCTTCCAGAAATGAATATGAATGTTTTCAACCTACTTGCTTAAGAATCTGTATACATTCTCAATCAGAATTCTTAAATTCTGAAATTTTTCTTTTCTCATTCCTTCTACTTTTTCATTTTTATTTTTGAGATGGAGTCTCTCTGTGTCACCCAGGCTGGAGTGCAGAGGCACGATCTCGGCTCACTGCAGCCCCCACCTCCTGGGCTCAAGTGATTCTCTGCCTCAGCCTACAGAGTAGCTAGGATTACAGACAAACCCCTTTTAGATAATTAAATCTAACTGGGTATTCTCACTACTGTGTCATCCTCTTTTAATATTTTCTGTCTTTTTTGTGCCTTCTGTTGCTCATTTCTTCATAGTTATTATTCCTGTCAATTCAATTTAGTCTGTTGTTTAACCATTAAACCATTTAAGTTTGAATTTTAATGTTCACATTTCTAGAAGTTCTTCAGAAGCTTTTAAATTATGCCTGTCTTTTTTTTCTTTGATGGTGTCTTATTCCTTCAATTCCTTCTTTTCTCTTATACACTTCATATACACTTACATATATCTTTACTGACATCATTATGTAAATAATTGTAATCACTTTCAGACCTGTCCATAATATCTTTAATTGTTGCAGTGCTATTTTCTGGTTGTGTCTATTCACCTTCATTGGTATGATCTGTAATTTAATTGTGAGGTCATCTTCTCTGGAAACTGTTTTGCCTCTGGACAGTGACCAAGGAACTGTGAAAATGTCCCTGGGAGTTTTCTTTCAGTTCCTGATCAATTATGAGGTACGTTCTTTGGTTTGGGACTCCTGTACCAAGTAGATGGTATAAATTTATGTTACAGCGCCATCTACATATGAGATGGAAGAATACCAAACAGGCTGGGCACCATGGCTCATGCTTGTAATCCCAGCAGTTTGGGAGGTCAAATTGGGATGAGGCCAAATCGGGATGAGCTCAGGAGTTTGAGAGCAGCCTGGGCAACAAAATACACACTGTCTCTACCAAAAAAAAAAATTTTTTTTTAATTAGCCAGGTATGGTGGTGAGCAACTATAGTCCCAGGTACTCGGGAGGCTAAGGTGGAAGGATTCCCTGAGCCCAGGAGTTTGAGGCTGCAGTGAGCTATGATTGTGCCGCTGCACTCTGTCCTGGGCAACAGAGTGAGACCCTGTCTCCAAAAAAACAAAAAGAAGATTAGATTACAGAATAATTAAGAACACTGGTAGCATTTGATGGGAATTTCTATTTTTCACAGGTCTCCCCTCTTATCCACAGGTAAAATTCCTTGCAGCTTTCACTGGCTGGGGCATTAAGGTCTCTCTTTTCATGGATAATTCAGTTTTTTGACACAGGCTACGTTCTAGCTCCCCTCTCTACCTAGTTCTAAGGCTTTCTGTCCTTGCATGGACATTAAAATTAGCATCAACTTCTCAACCAATATGTGGTCTAAAATCCCAGAGTATAAGTTCCTGTTTTGGCTTCGAGTTATCTCTGCTTATTATCTGGAGGTTAACCCCTCTTTCCTTAAAGCTTAGATATGTATTGGAAAAAACTTTTATTATATTCCACATTTCAGTTTGTCGCTGGGGGACAGCCATTCCACGGGGGCTCACCCCACTATGTTACCCAAAGCCCCTCAATATAGTTTTTAAAACAAGTAAACCATTGTATTTTAGAGTAATCTTAGGCATGCCAGACAAACAGTTGACAACCAACTAAGTATCCCAACCAATGGAAAGAATCTCAAGATGTACACATAATTCCTACCACATAATTCTCCTTAATTCATTCAAACACTTACCATTCAGTATTAGATACTTCCACTAGAATGTGATATATAGCACTTGTTCATAGTGCCAGGTATATAGTGCTAGTTAGCACATTCTAGTGGAAGAAAAGAGAATATCAAGAAGCCTGTCTAATGAGGATAAAGGTATTGCCATAAACAAGTGTGGAAGTTGGATAAAGAAATTAGAATTTGCAGGACAGAAATGATCTGTTGATGTTTCAACATGTTAACTGTAAGCATTTCAGAATACATGCAAGTGACTATATCCAGGTGCTATAACACTGTATTCCAATGATCTGGAATTAATCAGCTCAGCAGTATTAACTTTAACAATTAATAAAGAATATATCGCCACAGTGACAATTTTAAAATATCGAATTTCACCAAATAAAAAATTTATACAAGGTAACTTAAAACAGGTTCTTCTCTGGGTAAAAATAGATCCTCTAAGACACCAGGGGTCCCCAACCACTAGACCACAGGTTGATACCAGTCCATGGCCTTTTAGGAACTTGGCCACATAGCAGGAGGTGGGTGGCAGGCAAGGAAGCAAAGCTTCATCTGTATTTACAGCTGCTCCCTCATTGCTCGCATTACCACCTGAGCTCTGCCTCCTGTCAGCAGCATTAGATTTCTCATAGGACCATGAACGCCACTATAAACTGTGGATGCAAGGGATCTAGGTTAAGCGCTCTTTATGAGAATCTAATGCCTGATGATCTGTCCTGTCTCCCATCACCCCCAGATGGGACAGTTTACTTGCAGGAAAACAAGCTCAGGGCTCCCACTGATTCTACATTATGGTGAGTTGTATAACTACTTCATTATATATTTTAATGTGACAGTAATAGAAATAAAGTGCACAATAAATGTAATGTGCCTGAATCATTCCAAACTCTCCCAACCCCCACCCCCTGCAGCAATTCATGGAAAAACTGTCTTCCACGAAACCAATCCCTGGTGCCAGAAAGGTTGGGGACTGCTGCTCTAAGAAACCTGGGATTACAAAGGCATACTCCAACTCTTACCAAAAGCTCTTTACAATAAGTAATGAGAAATTTCTGCATTAAACCTTTTTCCGTGAAAGGAATGACAGAACTAGCTATCTGGGGATTAATTTCTGATGCTATGGGAAATGGAACTAAAAGTATTTTTTAAGTGATAACTGTCACAATATAATCTGCATCTGATATAAAAGTTGCAGGGATATAACAAAGCACAATACAAATGATAAAAATAAATAGGTAGTTTCTCAATAAACCTTAATCTCATTTTAACCACTAGAGGGCTACCTCGACATTTGATTTCTGATCCCTTAGTCACTCAATTTTTATTTATTTATTTATTTATTTATTTATTTATTTATTTATTTATTTGAGATGGAGTCTCACTCTGTCACCTATGCTGGAATGCAGTGGGGTGACCTCGGTTCACTACAACCTCCGCCTCCTGGGTTCAAGCGATTCTCCTGCCTCAGCCTCCTGAGTAGCTGGGATTACAGGTGCAAGCCACCATGCCCAGCTATTTGCATTTTTAGTAGAGACGGGGTTTCACCATGTTGGCCAGGCTGGTCTCGAACTCCTGACCTCAGGTGATCTGCCTGCCTTGGCCTCCCAAAGTGCTAGGATTACAGGCGTGAGCCACCACGCTCGGCCATAACTTCTCATTTCAATACTTACCAAGAAATAATTATCAAATCACTTTATATACCAGAAGACTTTGTGGGCAAGGAAATATGTGCTAATACAGCAACAGTTGGAAGGACTGTTCCCTTCTTAGTTGTCTGGACAACAAAAGTAAAACTGGGAGACCTGAAATTTAAGAAATCAAACTCTCTCATACTTCTTGGTCAGCTTTTGTAATATTGATGAACTTACGTTTTAAGTGTTCCAGACGTCATAAGTTCAGTCACCAAAACAATGCACTTCTTTCCTTTTACTGTGGATTCCCAGGAATCATAAAATCTAACAATATTGGGATGCTGAAGACCCTTTAACATTTCAGCTTCTTCTTTAAATCTCTGCCTCTCAGACTTTGTTAATTTTCGATCCTAAAATGAAAAACCAAAACAGAATGTAGTTTAAAATGATAAAAAACCAAATCAAGACAGTTAATCTTAGATACTAAACATTACTAAATCATGATCGATGGTGTTTAAAACATGCAAATGCTGAAGTTCTAAATGATAGATTTGGATTATATAAATTCATGCTTGAGATCATTTCAGTATCTTTACTGTTAATGTGTAACTCAGATACAGTCTCACTTTTGTAAGGTGCAGTTAACTTTCCACATCCAAAATAAGTCATCAATTGCTAGACATGCAATTTAATGTCAGGAAATGAACATAGGCTTTAGAAGCAGAAAGACCTAAATATAAATTCCAGTTCTATCTTTGCCTTGATTAAAATCAATCTATCTTTAACTAAAACATTGTTTTTATTTTTGTTTGTTTGAAAGACAGGAGCTCACTCTGTGACCAAGGCTGGAATGCAGTGGTGCTATCATAGCTCACTGTAGCCTCAGATCCTAGGCTCAAGGGATCCTCCTACCTCAGCCTCCAAAGTAGCTAGGACTACAGGCATGTGCCACCTTGCCTGGCTAATTTTTAAATTTTTTGTAGAGATGAGGTCTTGCTATGATGCACTGGCTGGTCTTGAACTTCTGGTGATCCTCCAACTTTGGCATCCCAAAGCCTGGGATTACAGGTGTGAGCCACTGCACGAAGCCTAATTTTTTTTTTTTTTTTTTAAAGCAATAACTTAAATACTCAAGTATTTGTCTTTAAGTCAGGAAAATTCTCAGTTATTATCTCTCTAAACACTGTCTTCTCTCATTCTCTTTTTTCCCCTCCCAACTCTTCTTTTTAAACAATTTTTAAATGTGTGTGTGTGTATAACCTTATTTTATCCTTTAATTTCTCTCTCATTTTCCATTTCCTTCTCTATGCTACTTTCTGGGCAACGTCTTCTGATCTACCTTCTTGTTCATTAATTTTTCTCTTCAGTTATTACATCAATTATTAATTGAACTTTAAGGTTCTCACTCTGTCACCAAAAGTACCCAATGAAGAATGTAATAAAAGGAAACCAAGTTACTACTCCTGTTTCTACTCTGCCCAATAGCATCAAAACCAATGGATACTACATACATGCCTCTTACAAAACAATTACAGGCAACATTATATTGACTCTTATCCCCACAGAATAAGCCCTCAGAGGCTTTATTTTGTCATGAAAAGGCAGTGACAAAATACCTTTTTGGTGTTCTATCTTTAGCACCTGACAACCTAGCATAGTGACTTGTTCAACAGCCATTTGTTGAATGAATTCCATAAAAGTCTTTTCCCCTGCGATATCCCTTTAAAAGTGTGTGTGTGTGTGTGTATGTGTGTGTGTCCTTAATAAGCAATTAGCATTTCCCCAAGGATAAAAAATTCCTGTGACTTAAAAGAAAAATGTTAATTGAAATTGGGCCTCTGAATCTCAGTTAAGTCCAATACAACCTATGCAGAATGATCAACTTGCAAACAGCTTTTGATTTTTAAAAATGGTTTGTAAAAGCTTATTGTAAAAAAGCTACCAACTACTTCTTTATAGCAAGGTACAGAGGGAAAAAAACAAGGGGGACTTCTTTGCCATCAAAAATCCGTATTTAATTTTCCTTGAGAATACACTGAATGGCAATCTAAAAATTCCATAAAAATATTTAGATTATTCTATCTCTAATTTGCCCAGACCACATCTATACTATAAATACAGGCTACTTTCTAGATCTAAGTGTTTCTATCCTTTCTGAAAAGTATTATTTATGTTAAGAGATCTGGGAACCCCTGCTTACTGTTTGAAGTTAGAAAGACAGGACACCAGATTGTCATCAGCAAAGCAGGAAATGGGGGGACCTAAACACACAATTTGGGGCTTCTTTCAATAATTCGTCTACGTGTTCCCTCTGTAACTAAATTTTGTTTTTTTTTTTTTTAAATCTAGGAACATTTCATAAAATATCTTATAGAAGTACATTATTTTAGCACCCAAAAGACTTTAAGACAATAATAAAGTAGATCAAAACTAACATAAGACACAGATCAGAAGGAACACCTGGGGTTTTAAAAATAATTTTTGCCAAGTATTTGCTATTTACTGGCTGGCTGCTTTACTTCATTTAATTCTCAGAAAAATGTTGTGAGATGAACTGACTCAGAAAATTTTATTATCTCCCTCAAATTCACAGGAAAAGCAGAACGAAGAGACAAATGAAGGTTTGCTTCAAAGCTCATGTTTCACTGACAACAAACCCTAAATATTTTGTAAAACTTCTAAAATAATTTTCTTCTCAGAAGATTCATGTTATTATATAATAATTATTGAAAAGAAATAGGAACTTTATACTAAATTACAGCTGAAGGTAAAATAAGAGGAACCATGTATTGTTTAAATATTACCAACTGTCAATCAAATTATCATGAATACAATGATAAAATTTTAAAATACTGTATCAAAAAGTAGCATTAAAACGTCAAGTGAGACTTAGAATGGATTAGCCACTGTTGCTTTTTAGAAACTTCTCTTCATCATTATGGAGCTGGATACTCCTGGGGCCTTCATATACTATACTATCCCAATTGCAGCATTCATGACCTTCAATATAAATTAAAGCTGATGCAGCTAACCCATTCTATTCATTTTGTTCATTTCTTTCCATCTACATTAAGTTGTTTTGACAGGATAAATGAGCAAAACCAAGGATCAGCGTCACATGACCTCTTCATAACATGCACAGTTCCAGACTACTGGGGGTGCGGTGTGGGTCAGGCAACAACTAAAACAACTGTTCATCTCAGTACTACCCAAATTACAGTGCTCAGTAGATTCTCTGCTAATTTCTTCTTGAGAAGCACAATGCTACTGTTTAATACAATGACCTCATAACCATTTGCACATCTTCAGTCCCTTGCTTTTAAGAAGTTATTTCATTTTAAACATCCTCTGACAGACATCTCTCTTTATCCTCATATTTTAGTATTTTTAAAGTAGCAATCCCATCCTTTGCTACTGTTCACTTTATTCGCCCAGAAGCAAACCTTCCAAACCAGTTGTGCTAATGAAGCAGTGAGACTGGTTTTCAATCATTAAACTTGAAATTTTTACTTTACAGCTAACAACTGTATCCCCAAAATTATCTGGTCCTCAAGTCTTATTAGCATTTACATTTCTCTAGTATTATATATGTGCAATATTCAAAATTTTACTACTAAATTAAGACAGCATATGTTAAATCCACGTATCAAAATATGGGTGGAGAAAAGTGTCTGGAATTCTTGATTAAAGTATTTTAGGTCACTATTGGAATACTCCCTCCTTATCATTTTCTGCACCACACTGACTTAGCAAAGACATGGGCATCTATTTCATTTTTTTTTTTTTTTTTTTTGAGACAGTCTTGCTCTGTTGCACAGGCTGGAGTGCGGTGACGCAATCTCGGCTCACTGCAACCTCTGCCTCCCGGGTTCAAGCAATTCTGCCTCAGCCTCCTGAGTAGCTGGGATTACAGGCGTGTGCTACCACACCTGGCTAATTTTTGTATTTTTAGAGACGGGGTTTCGCCAAGTTGGTCAGGCTGGTCTCGGACTCCTGACCTTGTGATCCGCCCGCCTCGGCCACCCCAAGTACGGGGATTACAAACGTGAGCCACTGTGCCCGGCCTCTATTTCATCTTTTAAAGTGATACGAATTGTTGTTGGGTATTAGGATAAAGAAATAAAAACTTGTCTTCAGGCAGAGTGTAGGTACAGCAGTTTGAAACACTGCTTTCCAGTGCAGCATGGGTTTCAGTTACAGTTTACAGAGAAAAAAATTTTTTAAACAATTATTCTGTATGTTGAAAGAAATTAAGCATATAAATAATTATTTAAGTCTGGCAACTCTCTCTCATAGGCCTATATGGTATAACAGCAATTCAAAGACGGCAGAAGTATTAACTGTAGGTAACTAACTCTTCTTAAAAACTTCAGAATTAGAGATTGAAGGCCTGGGAAAGGTTGGAAAAACTACTACTAGAAACAAAATAGGTAATTCTCATGCAAAACTTTTTAACTGTTAAAGACAGCAAAAAGACTTACATGGCTTTCAAGGTGTTTTGAAGTATAACATAAAAAGTACAAGTGCACTATATGTGGCCAAATCTACAGATTAAATTCCTACTGCAGATTTCTTTATGACTTCCAGTTTGGTACTCTTAGACACGAAACTCAGGATCTATCCCATGAAGAAGAGAGTCTATGTGAGCCCAACTTTCCTCAATAGGTGAAAAGATAAGATAATTATGGGGGTAGGGGGCAAGTAAACATGGCATCACATCCCCTGCTTCTCCATGGAGACTTTTACCTATCATTCTGAAATAGTACCAGTTTCAGAAAGACCAAAAAAAAAAAAAAATTTTTTTTTTCCCAAAAGAAAAGGAAAAAAAAATCTGGTTACCTGGTTTTCTAACTCCTCTATTAGCCCCTTCTTCCCAATATGGCTCACCTTTATACACTTTATTTATTTACAAAAAGTTTCTGTTTCAAAGAAGCAAGGAGAAAAGTCTACTTATAAGAGAGATAGGAGACCAGGTGTGGTGGCTCACGCCTGTAATCCCAGCACTTTGGGAGGCCGAGGTGGGCGGATCACCTGAGGTCAGGAGTTCAAGACCAGACTGGCCAAGATAGTGAAACCCCATCTCTATTAAAACCACAAAAATTAGCCGGGCGTGGTGGCAGGCGCCTATAATCTCAGACACTCGGGAGGCTGAGGCCAGAGAATCACTTGAACCTGAGAAGCAGCGATTGCAGTGAATCCAGTGAGTCAAGATCTCACCATTGCACTCCAGCATGGGCAACAAGAGCGGAACTCCATCTCAAAAAAAAAAAAAAAAGAAAGAGAGAGATAGGGGAGTTTTCTCAAGCCAGATGTGTACGAATGTATAGGTGCTATTCATTAGGTACCCTTCAGTTAATCCCCAAATCTGGGCCAAGAGTATCCAGAAGTTGGGGTCTAAGAGGTTCTCTCC